TAGTAATAAGCTTACAAAAAGTTTCTGCTTTTCAATGATCAGATATGACGAGCAACAGGGGCGTCATTTCAGTTTTTTCGGGGGGAGGGGGGGGTGCAAAACCAAAGCTTGGTTGACTTATTAAGCTGTTTATTACTGTATGCGCTGCAGTACATAGCAATTTAAATAAAACATGCTCATTCGGGGAGGTGGGGGCAAATGCCCCACCATGCCCAACCCAAATGACGTCCCTGACGTGCGACCATACGACCCGCGCCATGTCGCCTAGAGCTACTTCTCAATTAAGCGACTGCAACACAATGTACCCCTGGTGATCTCTTCATAGGTAGGTTCACAATGAACGTCTTTGACATGTTCTTTCAACGCACCTTAGTCATGGGCAGAGAACCCTCAAGTATGTTGCAGCGCTAAAAGAATCTAGCACAGTAGGCGTTTACCATCATACATATGGTGAATCGTCTGTCACTGCCATGTAAAATAATTGACCCATGACCCTGTATACAATCCCACATGTGGAGTATCGTCTGTCACTTCCATGTAAAATAATTGACTGGCGTCTGCCAAAACCGTCATATAATCTGGTCTAACCGTCCCACATATGGATTGCTTCTGTCAAAACCATCATAACCTGCGCATGGTCTACCAATCCCACCCATGGGGCGTCATTTGTCAATGCCGTATAAAATAACTGATCCATAAACTCGTGTGGCTCCGCTGAAACATGTTACGGAACGAGGACAGATAATGTTAAGTTGAACAGAAGTGTCGCAATGACAAAGGCGTGGCTGAAGCGGGGGGCAGTGTGCAGCATGCAGGCCCGACAGCAACCTGATACGTTTTGGTGGGGTTTTTGCACATCTCTTTTTTTGCTACCCTACTTTTTGAATAAAGCCACGATGATGTTTTGAACTGGAGAACGAAACTGAGATTTCATAATGAATTACGCATTTGAAAAAAATAATAATAAACATTTTAAAAATTCGATTTTATAATGCAGACTTCTTTTTTTTTTTTTTTCATTCAATTCAGTATCTTTCCGAGAATTTCACAAACATTATAGTTTAAAATCATTTAGGTATTGCTTAAAGACAGACTGAAAATTGTTTTCATTCTTCTTCTGTTTTTTTTAATATATATTTTTTTTTTTAAAATGTCACCCCTTTTATTGGATAACAAAAGCCATGGTTTCATTTGGTGACGTGTATATCAGCCTCTTTTTTTTTCCCCCTGGAGTCGCTGAATACTTAAGACTAGGATTATTTATCAAATCTGCTTTGGGCTATTAAGTTGGGATTGCATGTCTAGGAGATGGCTGACCCTGCTTTGAGAACCGCTGATATTTTCCTTTGCTTCGATGCCACCTGCAGCACTGACGAAACAAGATTTTTGTTTAACACCAGAGGGTGGGGAAAAAAAGGGGGAGTGTGTAGCGCCCCCGCCCCCCCCCCCCCACTTTGCATCCATTCCAATCGTCAATAGAAGACGTGTGCATTCATAGCTTACTTCCGACCTCANCAAGAACACGATGAAGAGGTGGTGCTTGTCTCAAACGCGTTCACTATTCATCACCTTTTTTTGTATGTGTACTTCAACCAACGGTTGGCTTTAAAAAAAAAAAAACGTGGTAAAAAATTTATTCATTAGTGTTACAAGAGGATGCCGAAAAAAAAATAATAATAAATAACTCCAGAAAAAAAACAACAAAAAAACATCAATGATCATCTTCCCTTGATTCGTCTTTTTTTTTCTTCCCTCTGAGATTCTTAACAAATGTCATTGGAGTTCTAAAAAGGATATTTTCATTCCAGTAAATATTTGGGATTTTTATTCCATCGCCTCTTGTAATGTGACTTGAGTATCAAAAGGACAAGAATTATAGATCCAGATTCATTATCACATTGCAAGCAAGATTATAGTATATATTGGCCTTGTATCGTCCATTGCCGTGTATGAAGATTTTTTATGGTTGCGTTTTGTATTTTAATGTGGAAAAAATTTAAATTGTCATATACGATTGACTTTGTACCACGCTTCGACTCCGAGCCTTGTTTTTTTAAATGAACTTTATTAGTATTAGTATTATAAGGGTGAGACTGCGAAGCAAAGTAACATCATCGGTTCCTTACCCTTGCCTCATAAACTGACTGCAGTTAAAGTCATATATATATATATATATATATATATATATATAGAGAGAGAGAGAGAGAGAGAGAGAGAGAGAGAGAGAGAGATTAAAACGTTTAGTTCAATTGACTAGAGGTGACAACCGACATATCTGCTCTGCGCAGAAAACATTTCACTACATTTACACTATTAGCATAACTAGGCTATATATTCACCTCTATGGCTCCATCCTTCGACGTCACTGGGCCAGCAAGGCGAAATTTAGGCCTTGTTAACAAGGATCAATAAAATAATAATAAGATCTCATAAAATTACTATTCTCCTACATAATTTATTGCAGGATTTCGAATCAGAATGTCTGCACTCCTCGACATTCCTCCGTTTGCTTTCAAACAGTTCTTCTGAACTTACAAATTGTGTCCCCCTCCCCCGCCGCCCCCCCCCCCCGCCCCCAAATCCCGCAGACAGAGCAAAAACACACGGGGGCGTCATCGGTCCTCCGTCGTAAAGCTTTGAGATCCGCGGCAAGACTCATCGATGCGTCACACACAAATCTCACCGAGCCGCTGCGCTCTGGTACACTCCACTGTATTTGTATTTTACCTTTTCGAAATTCCTCCCAAACCACGATCAACAGAGAGCAACACAAACTATTTGAGCACGGCCAAACTCGTACACGCTCTTCTCTGATGCGGACTCTTCTGATGGTGCAGCCCACCGCCATCTCCTTTTTTGTCCCCCATCCTTTCCAAGGAGAATAATTTAATGGTCTATGCATCCAAATTGGGGTTAGGGGGTACTTTAGGATGTTAATATAGTTAAAGGTATAGAACACTGCACCACATCCCCTACCAGTTACATTACTTAAAATGGGCAAAGTGGAATAATTATATGCCTACTATGTTAAAAAGTAAAATTGTTTAAATCTAGAGGGACTCGAGCGGGGCACTCACTGGCCAGAGCAACGAATATGGGGGTGGTAAATTTTATATTTGTATAGGCTAAGTGAACAGTTTTTCCCACCTCGGTAAACGAATGATGCTTCGGGTTACGAACATGCGCATACATATGTGCACGCAATCCACCGGCTCAGTAGTGAGAGTTTTGGCGAGTTTACAGTAAACATCTGTCACAGACCTGTGCTTTAAAAAAAAAAAACACTACTTTTTTTTTTACTTTTGATATTTTTGTGTTGTTGTATCCCTCATTATGGCGCCTAAAGAGAAAAAATGCTATTGATAGAAATCCTGTTAGTGTAGAAGCTAATGCATCATATAATAAATTATAATAACATGATAATGGCCTTCGTCTTTCTGACATTGCCAAGTAGGCCTAATACTAATACAATATGATGCAATTGACTATTTGTACAATTCTATAAACAAAATTATAATTTAAAAAAAAATAAGAGACAATAAAGGCGACTAATGTGACTAAACGAGTAACTGTGTTAACGAAGCTAAGGTCTAAAGTTATAGAGAACAGTGGTTCCAAAACTTTTAAGTTTGGCGGACCGGTGAACAAGTTTCGAAATTTTACCAGGGGCCGGTGCATGATTTATTTTTATACTTTTATTTCTATTTGACAATAAATATTTATGTTATGGGGACCGGCAGCGTTAGGCATACAGACCGGTGAAGGTCCGTGGACCGCCATTTGGGGCCCACTGCTATGGAAGATATAAAAGATGCTGGTTGTATTCTGTAGACTGTAGATATTAGCGAGACAATTTTTTTGTGAAAAAATGTGTGCAGTTGCACCGTGATTCGTCTGCCAAAACATCGATCGACGAATGCAAGTGCCAAAGCTGAAGACTAGATCGTGGTTGGATAAATTTCCCCCAAACGATGTGGATGTCACAATGTTGTAAGAAATGGAGATGCTACTGCTTGGTAGTTCAGATAAAAAGATGTATTTTTCTTTATAAAACAACACTTCAAAAATGTAAGAATACATACAATATTTCAAAGGCTGTAACAGATTAATTGAAGTTAAATCGATTTCAGTGGGAATAATTATTTCGGTATTAGCGATCGTTTCGGTTTAAGAACTGTGTCTCGGAAGTTACAGGGTTTCTTTCAGCTATATCTCCGGGGGGGGGGGGGAAATTTGCCCCCCCCCCCCTGGAGCAAAAATATGTCCAACAATAAATCAACTGGAACTGCTGGCACCCCCCTTACCGAAAAATCTGTAGTGCCCCCCTGATTAATTTTGTTGGCCCCCCGGAGCAAAAATATGTCCAACAATAAATCAACTGGAACTGCTGACTGCTGGCACCCCCTTTACCGAAAAATCTGTAGTGCCCCCCTGATTAATTTTGTTGACGTTATCCGAGGTTCCACTGTTAAATATAAAGGGCGGCAAAGGTAAAATTTTAAATATTCATAACGGAAGAACTGGATCGGGCCCTGTTTTAAATGTGTTCGTAACTATGAATAAAAAGAGGACACGTGTGTATATGATAAAAAAATAATTGTTATAGAGTTTTATGTTTAATACACCAAGGTGACACAGACGATGTCAGGGCAAATGAGTTTTATTTTTAATACACCAAGGTGACACAGACGATGTCAGGGCAAATGAAATCATATAGGTTATCATTTAATATATGTTAGTAACACATGACATGTTGCTACTTTTTCCTTTTAGTATTTAGTATTTAATATAGCGAAAATTGTTAATCACAGTGATAACATTATAAGCAATACCAGTTCTTTTTAGGATTATTTTTAACTTTTTATTGTCCGTAGGTTATTTTAAAGTTTTTCACAGTTTTTAAACTATGAACAAAATGCTTTTATGCAGATTTCAGAACATTTAATTTCAATTCAGCGGACAAAAAACAATGATCGCTCCCTACAAAAAAAAAATTATTTCCGGTTAGAGATGGCTGATCTACCAGAAAAATATCAAAAACTCGCTGGCGAATATGCTAAAGTACGAGCCAATTTTGCCATTCTTGAGCTGTAATTTTAAGTAGAATTGGTTTTTCAGTGTATATTGCACATTTTAATATTTCATTTTAGCTGAAAACCCTGATGTTTCGATCCATTACTTAAATCAATTTGCATGTAAACAACCAGGATAGTAAGAAATTGGCCTACCAAATCATGTTATTGTCACGCCCCTTCACACAACAACAGTAAACACCAACCGAGTGTAAACTATTCCTCTGCATTTAAAATAATGTTCTATCAGCTTCTCTCTGTGGTCACAGTGTAATTCTCCAATATTTAATAAAGATATTTATAATAATATGCAAGTCCTTTTTGAAATAGTAGAATTTAAAAAATGAACTTAATACTTAAATTGAATTCTTCAATGTGGCCCCAAATTACCAAATTATGCTATTATAATAATTATTTTTTTGCCCACCCCTAGAAAGTTTTTTGCGGGCGCCCATGGTTACTATGTTAGAATTTTTTGCTGTCCACTGTTCCAGTATTAAACAGAAACTCGTCCCTCTCCCCCATAGACAGCGACGAGGCTATGACAGGCAATTCAGGCTCATACCAGCAAGAAGCCAGTATAGGAGCTGCTCATTCCTGCCCGAGACAATCAGGGACTGGAACCATCTTTCAAAAGGAACAGTTGAGGCGACAACACTAGACACATTTGTGTCTATTGCCTCAAGTGCATAATTTCCTCATCACCACCAGTAACAGAAACATTGCAAATCCCATCTACATGCATAGGAGCCAAAATGATCAATAAATTGATCGTGGGCCCTTAAGATATAGAAGAAGAATTTCTTTTCTAAAATAGATTTTAAGCACTTCTGTTGTATAAGTGTGCTTTTTCTTTCAGTTTCATTGATAAATGATTTTAAAAAGGTATTTAGCCACACATTTTCTGTTACATTTCAGATAAAAGCTCAAATACCTGTATTAAAAAAAGCATATCTAGATGAGAAAGAAGAAGTCGGTCAATTGAAAGAGGTATTAAAAGAGCGGGATCAAACAGTGAGAAAGTATGAACAAGAGGTAGACAGCCTAACATTTCGCAATCAACAGTTGTCAAAAAGAGTAATAGTCTTGCAAGAAGAACTAGAAACATCTGAAGCTAACAGTAAAAAGAAACATAAGGTGATTTTATTAATTTTAAAAAATGTTGTATTATAGCTTAAAAATCAATTTATGAATGAAGTGTTGTTATATAATTTTAAACCAAATTCATGCTAGGCCTATAATCTCTTATTTATTTAGTTATTTACAATATTATTGCCTATTAATTCTTTCTCACACTTGTTCTTCAATCAAGTTTAAAAATAATGTATTCTATTATAATTATTTATCATATTTAAATTAAATAAATATACTTATGCTTTTGTTTGTAAATATATGAGTACCGGTATGAGGTTTATGACAGCAAAAAATTGTAAAATATTTGGTAAAATATGCCTTTATGTTTATATATTTAATAATGAAGTCTAAGGATATACCTTATAGCAGAAAATGATAATTTTAATTTCAATGGCTAGGAATTATTAGATTTAATTTTTTTTTAAATACTATTACAAAATTTCTACCCATTATTTCAATACAGAACAAATCTGAGCCAACAACCCCTGAACGAGGTGGGGCACGGAACGGAGGACTGAATGTCTTCAATGAAGAACTGCAGAACAAAATTGAAGAAAATGCATTGCTACACAAACAGTTGCAAGAGCTATCAGCACAGTTTGACATGCATATCAGGGAGCTGCAGGTACTTTATGCTTTAAAATAATGTCAAATTGGCTCATACTTTGTTCTTACATAAGTTGTTCAGTAATAATTTTAATCAATTACTTAATCTACAGGAACAATTAAAAGAAGCTGAAAATTCAAAAGGTCAACATGAAGAGGTCCTTAGCTTGGCTCAAAAAAGATCCAAAGAAATTGTTGATAGGCTACAAGAGGAAAAAGCAATGTTGGAAGTAAGTGCACAAAATGTTTAGGAGTCACATATTCAAAAACATGAATAAAATGCTGATAATTTTTAAAAAATTGGTATGCTAAATCAAAATGAATCTGAATCTGACATCAGTTGTCTATTTATCTTTTTCTTTAAATCCATTTAAAAAAAACAAAAAAAACATTGTATATTCTATTCATATATATTTTAATATACAGTTTAGTCAATTATTTTGTTTAAAAAGTAACGCATATTATTTTTACAGGTTAAAATACAAACTCTTGAAACAGACCTTCGAGACTTTCGTGGACGATGTGACTTTGCGTAAGATTTTTCCAATATGCTTTACATGTTACACAATAAGACTTTGCTCCAAGTTGGAAAACAGTATGCCAAAATAATCTCTAGAATATTTTTCGGTCTGTTTTTTTGCCCACTCCAATTTTTTTTCTCCTTTTTTTAGGTAGGATATATGTATATATATATATATTATGTAACTTTAATTTACACTTATTTAATTGTTTTTGTTGTACTGATGAAGGCATGTGCCGAAACGTATACTTGTGTATTTTTGTAAAATTATTATTAAAGCTTAACTTCTATTGTTATATTGCGAAAATTGTTCGTGTTTAATTAATCTCTAGAATATAAAGTGTTTTAACACTGGTATAACTGCTGTAAAATAATTTTTGCATCATCACATTTTAACAAAACATTTACAGGGACTTTCATAGAAACCAACTATAAAGTAAGGTATTTAAATCAAATCTAAATCTCTATGACAACTTAATGAACATAGAACAATTTTCTTTTTATAAAAATAATTACTCAAAGGCTTAAACGTTTTAGGAAAGTTATGATTTTTCTTTTGTTTTTTTAATGGCATGATACTTTTAACCACAGAGAGCAAAAACTGGTATCGGTTGAAAAAAGTCTGCAGAGTCGTCTCGATGTAGCTACAAAAATTATAGAAGAAAAATTACCTTTTATTGATACGAGTAAGCAACTTTCTATTTCAAAATATCAATGGCTTGTTCACAGATTAGTTGTTGTTTTTTTGCCAATCCAAGTCCATCTGGCAGTCACAAGGGTTATAAGAGGGGTGGCAGTCTAAGCACTAAGTGATAGCATTTAAGGTTACTGCAGTTGATATCCATTATTTCATTTAAATATTTGGTGAAAGTTGTATTGAAAAATAATTTTAAAGCACAGCCAAAAACATATATTTATCGTTCCATGGAGTAGAGATAGAAATACATATTTAGTTGTTTTACTAAAGATGTCATAAAAGATGCTCCATTTTGCTACCTGCATAGATCTATGGCGTTGTTCTTTCTAATGTTTTTTTTATACTTCAAAGTTACATATTTTCATTTGTAATTCTTTAGTCACCACCTATTTTATTTTACTCATTTTTTTAAAAATATTTGCCTCAAACATTTAGAAATCCGAGAAGTCAATGGCCTTAATGTCCCAACCCATGACAGGAGACACCAGCTTCGAGCTAAAGAGCTTATAACTCAAGGAGCTAACTTAGTCGGGGAGCTGACACTAGGCTTGTCAAATTTCTTCACATACAGCGAGCAGAGGTCTAAGATATATCCAGCTGATGGCGTTACGGAACCACTTAGCCAGTTAAATACCAAAGTGAGTGGTGTTTTTTTTACATTATATTCACTCTGCTCCGGCGCATAAATTTAAAGTTTTAAAGTAACACACACTGCTGAATCTATAGGTTTCAATTTTTTATCTGATTCTTTTTCTCGTACCAATTTGCTTTGAAATTAAACATTAATTGTAAATTTGTTAATTCTAAAACATTTAATATATAATGAGCCAGGCTTATGTTTTGTAGCTGTAAGTCAGCTTTATTGGAATCAGATTCACTCTGAAACTGCCTGTCATTAATGCTGCCAATCTTTCTTAGAATGAAAAAAATTACATACGCCTGATCAAAACTAAAAACAGTATCTCTTTAAGTAATATTCTTTGCTGCCTTGAATTGTAATCAGTTGAGTGGGCTGCTCGTTAGTTTTGTTAACCAACTGGCTCAAATTTGTGTGAATTTTCATTGGCATGATAAACATTCATGTTTCAGTTTTGCAAATACCTACATGAGAACATGGTTTACTTAAAGCCAGTTGAACAATCTTTAAGGAACTTTGTCAACAGCCTTAAAGATGACTCCCTCACCGTTTTAGTAAGTAAAACGTGTTCTGTGAAATTTATATAACCCTAATTTTATTATTTTTTTAATGCATGTTTTTAATAAGGGACGAAGTTTTGATTTTATGTTTTCTTTTGTGCAAGTTGTCAAATTTATCCAATCACTTCATAGTTTTTAAAAGAAATATATGTACAAAGAAAGGCATTCTTTAAAAGTTTATACAAATAGTACTTACACGCATTAACCCTTTTTGAGACTTTCAGTGTCAAGGAGATGGAGCCCTTTTCACAATCCCTCCACTTACTTTGAACGATTGTTTTTTTTTAATGAACTAATTACTTTAAAAATATAGAACTATACAATTCTTATAGGGATTTTAATGAACTAATAGAATCTTTATGAATCAAACTGAAATCTCAACATTTTTGTATATAAGAGATCCTGATTAGCATAATATATTCATGCAATTTTTGTACACACACATTTAACTTATCCTACTTGGAGAATTTTCTTGAATTTTCAGATTTTTGAAGCCTAAATAAGTCCTAAAAAACATTTGAATGAGATTCAATGTGAAAAATTGTATTACATATGCCAATGGGGGTTCTTATGCCTTTTGGCATATTCCAAGGTCACATGTTTTTAAGCATTTAAATTTAAAAGGGTCAATAGGTACAAAAACCTTGCTATAAAATGACAGAACACCATAAATTATCAATGGAAGCCACCATTAAAAGGGTAAGATGAGCAAAAATCGGATTAGCTGATACAAAGACCAGCCAGCCAATCTTGAGGCTTGTATTAATCAATCAGTGGAAGGGCCCTTCATCTTTTTCCACCATTACACTCTGGGCAGATATCGGCCAGGCCATCTGGGTTAAAGAGGGTTAAATATTATGTTTTATTTTATGTTAATTTCTTCCAGGAAACTTCATCAGAACTTCAGCCTTTTTCTCACAACTTTAAAAAAATGGTTGCCTACATTAACAAACTTTTGCCATACTATATTGCCAGGTAGGATTGCACATTTTTCTGGTTAAAACTTAGCTGACAAATTTTAATAATAAAAGGTGCTTCCTGCTCTTAATATTATTGAGATTCAAACTCTCCTGTATGATTTGTCTTACAATTGCTCAACACGTTTACTTGTTGCTTGAGTGATTATGACAAACCACCATGCAATTGATATTCAAACCAGTTTAAAGAAGTTTATTTTATCCCCTTGAAAAAATGGGCCGACAAAAGTGGTGTGAAACTATAGGCACATAAACTAAATATATTAAGTCTTGAAAATGTTTGTGGAAATTATATATTTTGGTAATTTTGACATATTTCTCTTGTAATCAGCTTTAAATAAAAAAAGTTCTAAGACCTCTGGTTTACAAAGATCAAACTATTTACAATGAGAAATCATATCATCTTACATCTTTTAATTTTTTATTTTTTTATTTTTTTTTAAATTTAGAACTAATTATACTTAATTTTCTTTTCCTTAATATTTAAGAACAGTGATTTCACTATTTTTAATTCTTAAAGCCAGATGTATAAGAATCAAGAGTTCAGACCACACATATAAAATTGAAGAGCTGTGCTTTTGAGATTCTCAATTCAGTATGCACAGATTAGCAGATTAAGATTTTGTAGGGCATTTTACTTTTATGAAATGATTAATTAGATATTTTATTTTGAGTTGCATTTTAACTTTTTTTTAGATCAAATTATTTATTTTTTAAAATGAACTATGGCTCTGTTATTTTGTTTTTGTGTAATATTCATATTATTTTTGCTTTATGTTTATTAGCCCATGTAGGATGTAACTAAAATTGCTAATTACTTGTTACCGGTATTACAGTTTAGAGGAAGAAAATGCAGTGTCATCATGCACACCTACACTGGCTTCTAAAAACAGGGACCTGCTTCTGTCACTGAATCGCCTGGTGTCTGTTTTCAACAAGATCAACACATATGTTTCCTTACTGGCTGTGCAAAGTAAGAATAGTTATCTGAGAGTTAACCCAATGAATGGCAGACCGTTTTAATGTATTTATTTGATTTTTAAATGTTAGCACTTAATTGTCTTTAAGTTCAATAAGAAGCGCTGAGTACACCAGTACATTTAATAATGGTCCATCACTGTCACCATCAGTGCCAGGACATTTTTAGGGTGGGAATGGGGGGAAGAGTCAATATCAATAATGTCAATGGTTCGCTTATGTCTGAAAAAGTATTGAAATTAAATAACAAATTACATTTTTTTCTTCTAAGAATGCCATTCTTCCATGTCAGAAACAACATTTGTTCCTCCCTTAATATTGTTCCACTTCATCCTGTAAATGGTTGAGCAGGACCATAAAAAATGCTTTCCCATTTACCGAGAGCAGGGTTACACCCTGCCAAATATGAGAATCGGTAAAGTTTCCTTTCTTTGGTGGTTGGATGATCACATATTTATCCCAGCCATTTTGGAATGCTAATGCCTACGCACTGCAACCAGTTGTTGAAAATTTAGCGTCACACTTTGGCCAGTTTTAACATTCTGGTGCAGCCTGATTCCATCCGGGAGCTATGTTCAGAATAAAGCCGTTTGTTTCATCTAGAATAATAATAAAACAGGTGATTATAAAAAAGAAAAACAAAAATATTGATTAATATAACTAATGCCATTGGCAGGAATTGGTTATATGATATCGTCGTATTATTTGCAGGTTTACAGGGTCAAGGTCATCCACAATCATCTCATGCTAAATTTTTTTCTGGTTTGTGCAAATCCCTCAATGACTTGCACGAAGCTATAAAAGGTGAGCATTTAAAACAACCCTGGGGCTTTTACATAAATGCGAGTAGGAATCTAAAGCAAAATGCCATAGTAATTCATTTCAATTGCCTGTTAGTTAAACAAGGAAAATTTATTTTTCACTGTTAATTGCAGCAATTATAGAAATTAACAGCAGTAAGTCGTTGATAGCATTCTAATTTATGGATATCTCAATTGTAAAAAAAAAAAAAAATTAACAAATTTTTTTTTTTCTTTTTAATTTTTTTTTTTAAATTGCTAACAAAAATATATAATTATTCATTGATAAGTTAAAGGCTGATGTGTACAACCATCTCCTTCTTCATGCTGCAAAATACCAATTGATGGGGTTATTTTATTTACCTCAGAGGTTTCCAAACACTACAATTCAAAAGTATCTCTGGAGCATCAACTCCCCACAGCAACTAAAGAACTCAAACGAACTGATGAATGTGTTGTTGCATCTCTTATATCTCTGGTCACAAACACAGGAAAGGTGAGTTGGTAATGTGTTTATTTAGTTATGTATGAACTGCAAAATGGTAAAGTGGAGCAAAATGGTAAAGTGGAGCAAAATGGTAAAGTGCAGCAAATGGTAAAGTGGAGCAAAATGGTAAAGTGGAGCAAAATGGTAAAGTGCAGCAAATGGTAAAGTGGAGCAAAATGGTAAAGTGGAGCAAAATGGTAAAGTGCAGCAAATGGTAAAGTGGAGCAAAATGGTAAAGTGGAGCAAAATGGTAAAGTGGAGCAAAATGGTAAAGTGGAGCAAAATGGTAAAGTGGAGCAAAATGGTAAAGTGGAGCAAATTTTCTTTTTTAAAATTGCCGATAAAATGCTCATAATTAAAAATCCATTGATTACTTGGTGAAATGTTTGTACAGATGGCAGCATTTATGTCGGGCAATCTAGATTTCTTCACACAGCCTGCGGGTTACAGGACTAGAGGAAGCAGCATCAGTTCTGATATGGGGAAAGAGGGCCCGAGGTCACATCCAGCAGTTAACTCATTCAGACAAAGGGCATCACAGTTTCTTTCATCTATATCAAAGGTACAGAAGTCTATTATAATTTATTTCAAGCCATTTATTGTTTCTTTCATTTCAAGATCACACTTACATTCCATTGTACTTCCCCAAAGCAAATTTTTTTACAATAAATATGCTATATCTCCATTCATTAAAATACAAGCATGCAGATTTGAAGGTAATACTAATACTTCATGTTTATATAAATTATTAATAAACTTATACAGTGGTACCTTGGTATGCATCAGCTTTGAAATAAGTCCAACTTGGTATATGTCCTGTTTGGACGAGAAACATTTTGCTTGGTATAAGACCTTCGTTTGGAATACGACCCTGGTGCGTGCTAGAATTTGTATGTGTCAAAATGATTTTTAGTAAAAGTCAAACCTTTTGAGCCTCAACCAGGGTCAACTAGGGAAAAGAGGCAGAAAAAAGAAAACACAAGGAAAAAAAAAACAACAATAGAATGTCGTATTCCTGAAGTTTTATTGGAAGCGGACTCTCCTTCAAATCAATAACATCTCCTCCTTCTCAGCACCATATAGTAAGCACTTGACCCTTCTCACCAAGGTAAAGTGAGGTTAAATTTTCATTTATTTCACCTAAGTTTTTTTTGTTTATGTATTTTAGTATTAAGCAGTGCTTAAATTATTTTATACAACCGTGTCAATAAATGTATGTATGTATGTATAGCATCTTTCCGTCTGCGGGAGACGATAGATTATCTTTATTGCTTGCAGCTCTTGGTGTGGCTGGTGAGACCAATCCTTGAATGGCAGTCTCTGTTACATTTCCCACAAACGAATGCGGTGGAGCAGTATTTACCGGCCTTCCTCCTCGCTCTTTTTGCAGCTGTTTCCGCCCTGTTTTGATCCTCGGCATGTAGTGATCCTGCCTTCACGATGCCCCGCCATGAGGATCGATCCTCTGCCAGCTCCTCCCAGTTTGAGATGTCGATGTTGGCCGACTTCATGTCTCTTTTGCATATGTCTAAGTATCTCAGACGAGGCCGTCCAACTGACCTTTTCCCTGTCGCCAGCTCGCTGTATAGCACGTCCTTTGGTATGCGACCAGATTGCATTCGCTTGACGTGTCCAAGCCAGCGGAGGCGTCTTTGGATTAACATGGCTGGGACGCTACACATGTTTGTTTGGGACAGGACATCCGTGTTGGGGACTTTGTCTTGCCATTTAATGTCAAGGATGTGGCGCAGGCATCTGAGGTGGAAGCCATTGAGCCTTCTTTCGTGTTTAGAGTATGTGGTCCACGACTCGCATCCATACAGAAGTGTGCTCAGTACGCAGGCCTGGTACACCTGCAGCTTAGTTCTTGTTGTGAGTTTGGCGTTTGACCAGACTCTTTTCTTCAGTCTGGCCATAACAGTTGCGGCCTTCCCTATCCTCCCACTTATCTCATCCTCCATTGAGAGGGTGCTCGATATGTTGGATCCCAGATATGTGAATCTGTCAACAGTATCCAAGTCGTAGTCGTCGATGGCGATAGTGGGGAGGGAGTCAGCGCCCTGTTCCATAATGTTAGTTTTCTTTAGGCTAATTGTCAGGCCAAACTCTTTGCAGGCAGCGGATAGGCTGGATACGAGGCTCTGCAGGCCGTCAGCTGTGTGAGATACCAAAGCGGCATCGTCCACAAACAAGAACTCTCGCAGCAAGACCTTTCTTGTTTTAGTCTTAGCTCTAAGGCGGGCAATGTTGAATAATTTGCCGTCATCTCTAGTGTGGATGTATATCCCCTCGCTGTTGTTCTGAAAGGCATACTGGAGTAGGATGGAGAAAAAGATTGCAAATAAAGTAGGAGCCAGCACGCAACCTTGCTTTACTCCACTACCCACTGGAAAAGCTTCTGAGGCGGCACCGTTATAGCACACTGTGCCCTGCATGTTTTCGTGGAACTGCTTGATGATGTTAAGCAGTCGTGTAGGGCAGCCTATCTTTTTGAGGATCTGAAACAGGCCGCTTCTGCTGACAAGATCAAAAGCCTTAGTGAGGTCGACAAACGCAATGTATAAAGGCATATGTTGCTCCCTGCACTTCTCCTGCAGCTGGCGCAGAGAGAAGATCATGTCTATGGTTGACCTACCGGCGCGAAAACCACATTGCGATTCTGGGAGTACACGCGATGCTAGGGTCTGTAGGCGTGTTAATGCAACTCGGGCGAAAGCCTTTCCAACTATGCTGAGGAGGGAGATTCCACGATAGTTGTTGCAGTCACTCTTGTCTCCTTTATTTTTGTACAATGTAACGATGTTTGCATCTTTCAACTCTTGTGGTAGCTGTCCCTGTTCCCAGCACAGAGTAAGGAGATCGTGCAAGGGCCGTAATAGTACTCCTTTTCCACATTTGAGAGCTTCTGGTGGGATACCATCATTGCCCGGGGCTTTCCCACTGGCGAGACAATCGATGGCTCTACGTAGCTCTTCTATTGTGGGTAGGGCTTCAAGCTCCTCTTGACCGGCAAGTCTGGGATATCGTCCAGGGCTCTGATCTCCAAGACTGCTCCCTTAATGTCCAAATCAGCGGAAATTTGATTACTGATCGAGATAAACAACTTAAGCAGTGGATAGAGCACTACTTGGAAATATAGGCAACGATAAACCAAGTCTCAACCGCTGCCCCGGACAAATAAATGTATAATATGCCAATAACAATATGATTTTTTTTTCATGGGAACGGATTAATCATTTTCCCTTTATTTCTTATGGGAAAAATACATTTTGTATATGTCCTGTTTGGTATAAGTCCAAGGATCTGGAACGGATTAAGGACATATACCGAGGTACCACTGTAATTATAAATATAATTGAAACATTTTCATTCACATGAGATTAATCTCCTCTTTCCTTTTTATATTGGAAATATCATTTCTAGAATCCTATAAAGAAATAAAGACATACTCAGATTTATACAGACATGCCTCATAGATCTGAAAACACATTTGAATGTTCATTTTCACTGTACAATTTCTATGCTTTAAGAAGTCATTGCACCAGAATATGGGCAGGAAATTCAGAGCATGTTTAGGAAAGCACTCATTACTGTAACGCTATGAAAGTTAAAATCTGCTACAAGAGATTCTAAGGAACAAATTAGTATTGAACACAAATTTTTGGAGATCACAGTGAAAAATGAGCATTTAACTTACCCTTAAAATAATATTTAAATATTTATAATGAACATGGGAGAGTCCTCAGTTACTCTCTTTGAATAATGATGGAAAAAATGTAATTTTGAAAAATGCAGACTTAAATGTTAAGAGAGATACAGCTACAGTTATAGTCATAAAAATGATCAAAGACCTATTAAATTCCCCTAAATGCCGAGAGCTAAAAGGAAGAAAATAAAAAATAAATTGTAGCACAATTGATTTTTGTTAGGAAATTTTTTCTTTTCTTCTTCATTTCACTACTTCCTTTACAGTCATACTTTCAAACTGACTCGTGAAACTTAGCCAAATAACCAAAATCTGCATATCAAGGAATGTACAGATTTTATAATAAATCTATTATCCAGAAAATTTGTGTCCTTTAAATGACAGATTTTTAATTCAACAGCCTTCACAAGATTCAGTTCCATACTGTGTAGCTGTGCAGAACAGGAAAACTTTACTGAGCTCAGCTGAAAGTAAAGAGGGGCTGGCTAAACAGGTATTGTCTGTTGCCAATTATTGTGAGATCTGTGTCCAAAATTATCTATATATTAAATGCTCATAGGCAGTTGCAATTATATTATGAGAAAAAAAAAATATTTGCTAATTAAATCTTTTAATAATTCATAATTTTACTAAGTATGACACTAGTAAAGGTTAATTTTACTAAGTATGACACTAGTAAAGGTTAACCTTTTCTTTTACTTTCCCAGCTTTCAATTTTCCAACAAAAGTTCTCAAAACTAGAGCAAGAGAAAGAGCATTACTTGCTAGAGCTGCAACTGCTTAAGATCAAATTTGAGAATGAACAAGTGGTGAGTGGTTGCCTGGCCCACTGCATTTAGATTGTCATCCATTATTTCATAAGTTTCATCTACTGCCCCAACATTATAATAAAGTTATCAGACTGTGGGTTGGCAATCATGAGCTGGATAGGGAACATCACAGGGGTATAATGAAAAGGATAAACCAGTCTTTATTAAACCCATTTTATGGGATATGTTGACAACAAGGATGTCAAAAGTTCAAAATCAAATGCAAGTAAATAAGAAATATGTCTGCTAAAAGGCTTTTTTTTTTATTTGAAAGATTTCTTCAGCAAAAAAAAAAAGAAATATCTTTATTAAAAGCTTTCTTCAGCAAAAAAGAAAGAGCGAGCAAACATGTAAATATAATATATAAATTGCTGAGAAACAATCATTTTGTATAGTTTTTAATACACTAAAATTATTTAATAAGTAAATAGCACTAAAGAAGGTTAGAAACACTGGGCTTAAAATATACAAGTTTGTACTTTTTGTTTTTCACCATTTTTTAAATTATTATTTGAATCAATACATATTAATAGGTTGGATTATCATATATATTTTCGAATCATTTTCGAATCAAATTTTTTTTTTTTTTTTTTTAGAGTGCAACACTGAGGTAATTTTTATTTTAAGTTCTGTGCTCTCCTTTTTAGAGTGCAACACTGAGGTAAATTTTATTGAAGTTCTGTGCTCTACTGTTGTTGCTTTTTTTTTTTCTTCAGAAAACAAGGCAGTTGGAAAAAGAAATAGACATGGTAAGGGCCAGCTCAAGTGGTGTAAGCAGTGCTGTGGCATCCACCTCATTGGAGGATCATATAGAAAAATTGACACTCCCTTCAGATATAAGCACTCGCTCAGACTCTGTTAACAGTGGATCATACCTCGACACCAGCATGGTGAGGCTAAATTTTTTTGATTTGTATATAATAAATCAAATTTTTAAGAGAAAAGGGAAATCTGCATCCATTTGTAGACAGAAATAAAAAAAAAAAAATTTTAAAACCAAAGAGCTTAACTTGAAATTTATTTAAAATAAACTGTTTTAGTTCAGAAATACATATTAAGAGTTTATTTTAATTTTATAGCTGGGACAGCTAGAAACCAACGGATCTGTTAAAAATGATGTAGACACCAGAGAACAACTGATAATGAATCATTACAACACAAGAATAAATGAGCTGACACTTCAGTTACAGCAGGCGGACAGCAAGGCAGTCAGTTTCCATGCAGAGGTCTGTGGTTTCTTCAAATAAGCATGGGATATTTTATATTTAAGAAAATAATTATTCATCCAAATTTAATCACACTTTATTATTTTTCTTATTTTATTAAATGATGAATAAAATTTTAAAATTCAGTTTTTAACAACTTATGTGGAAATTGCTTTGGATTAATGTAATATCATCACACATATGATATTCCTCTTACTCTGCATTGAACATATTTTTCCCTGAAACCTTACTGCATGACGGCTAATAAGAGCCGGGACTTTCATTTTATTGAACATTATACCTTCAGGTACGAGCTTTACATAAACAACTGAAAATTGCGGAGAAGGCAAAGGAAGTGTGCCAAGATGAACTGAAAATTGTTAACCAAAGTTTAGCTCATCTGAAGGTCAGTACCATAGAGCTTTTACAACAAGTAAAATATATTTAAGAAGCATCTTTATTTTAGCTAACTGAACAAGCTGGAAGGAGTCCTCCACATTTGCAAAAACAATAGCTAGTTTGCTTGTTATGGAAACCCAGAACTATCTGAAAGCTTACCCCATGTCCAGCTATGTTACCCAGACGCCAAATAAAATATATATCATCTAATTTCCCCAAAAAAAAGATAGGAGTTAAATTTTTCATTGTTTTCTAAAGGATGAACTCCAGACAACTACGCGCAGCTATGAAGGTCAGCTTAGCATGATGAGTGAGCACCTGGCAGGCATGAATGAGAAACTGGCTCAACAGAAAGATGAGATTGATGAACTTAAGCAGCACCTCACCCAGAAAGGCTCATCTTCAAAGGTAATTAATGGTTTATAAGTTACAAGTGCACTACAAACAGGCCCAACAAATTTTATTGTATATGTTCAAGTAAATAAGTTTTAACACCCCCTAATCTCTTGATATGCATATGTATTTATAAGATATACATTATGCACAACTAAATGGTGTTCCTAAGGAATAAATTCCTGGTTCTTATTACGATACCAGTTTCAATAATTTGGTTATCACAGTTAGAAGTTAAATTAAATCTATTGTTATGCATGGTGGCAGATGCTGATTAAAATTTCCAGAGGTGGATAAAAAAAAACAACTGTAATGAGTAACAGGTTTTAATGTGTGTCGTGTGTGTCGTTCCGTGAGTCCCCCTTTTTTTTTAATAATAATTTTTTGTTTCCCATAGATAATGAAAAAGTCCAAGAAATGATGACAGCCTTTAGTATTAACCATAGGTCTTTCCAAACTGTACGTGATTTAGTGAAGATGGTACCAAGTGTTGAACACTCAAGTCTTCTAGCTATTCACCTTGCCATGATCTTGAGATTAGCTTGTTTATAGCTAGGTTACCTGAGGATTTGAGTTGATGATTTAATGGAGAGTTTAAAAAATTTAGTTTGCAAGATCCTTATATAGATGCATTATAAATTACTGTTGAATTATAAAAATATGTATCAATCATTGTAACCTGTAGGTTTTATCACTCTTTATTAGTAAAATAATTATTTTTTACTGAGTACATCACATGGGTGGATAGTTTCATTTAAATTGTAAATATCTTTGTATGGAGCAGTGTTTTTCATTAACATTTTATGCCATTTTGAAAAAGATGTCAATCCCTCTCTCAAATGTTAAAATGTTAATTTGTGTTATTCTTCTACATACTCTACGAAAAACAACTTATCAATCTGTTGTAATATTCACTTTTTGAGGAATGTTCCATTTGTGTCACTTATTCATAGCTCTAGCAGTGGTTAATACTTCTTAGGCATGAAGTGTGTTGTTTTCATCACTGCAAATTGAGTCTTTATTTAGGGTATTACTAATATGTTTAATTTGGACAAATTTAAATCATTAATATAACTCTCCAGCGCTAGAAATAATTAAATTATTTACTTTAAATTTTAATATGAAAGTTGTTTTTTTCTACGTCTGAAGTGTCCCTATATCTCATTTTAAAAATTAAAAAAGGCGTTTGCTTAAATACTCATCTAAATATATACTCCTCTATTAATTTCTTTTCTTCTTAACACAGCTCTGTAGACACCTGGAAGTCTGTCTTATTAATAATAAAGGAGAGCCAAAAATTGTTAAAGAGATTAATTTAAGTATCAAATATATTATTTATTATCATTAATTTTATAACTATCAGAATGATGATACCAAGCTAAACAGTTTAATAACCATGTGCCTACCAGTATATCTTAATATATTTTTATGATATATAACATCATTGAAATGCCATGAACCTAGTAATGGGGACAGTTATTGTTAATGTTATAGGGTTCATTTAGTTTTTTTTTTTTTTTTAAAATTATGTATCAGTTAGTGAAAGCAATAATTTTACCAGAGATTGGATTATCTAGAATGTAGGACTCATCTTTAACCATAAAATATGGAATGTAGCAGATTGTTATTGTTGCAATCATGTGCAATATTATTGATGTTTGGCAAGTATGATTTAACTAAGATCAAGTTCTATTTTATTTATACATTATTTATTTTTAATTTAAACCCATTCCAAAATAATTTATACTTTTTTTTTTCTTTTTAAATAAATTTTAAAGCCCATTATTTTGGGTAGACTTTTAATATTTTTTTTGTGTTAAGAATGACCTTTCAATTTAAAGACTATTTGATGTAATTTGGACATTATTTGCATGTCTGTTGTGTACTTTTAAAGGGAAGCCCTGTACAAATTGAAACAAAAGTCCAATAGTGTTCCTGCCTTAAGGTTAATTTTCTCATATTATGTTATATCACTTGGATTTTTCATGTAAATATGTCAATGTGAGAGTCTTATCTTCTTATGAAAACTAAAAGTGCTGAGCTTATATTTCAGATCAGGTTTTCTGAACTATTTTTTAATCACATGAATACTGTTCACATCTTGTGAATATTTGTTTTAAGATTAATGAAGAAAGTTGCATTTGTTTCAATCAATTTCATTGACTCCCATATGGTTAAGAAGTCCCTGTTTTAATGATTAAATTAATTAATAAATTACTTTTTACTGCTTACCTCTTGGAATTGGAATGTATTACTCAATTCACAACTTTTTTTTTTTAAAAGAACTTTTTGACAATTTGTTTCATTCCAACCCCAAGGTTTATACCATGTAAAAAAAAAATACTTTTTATGCCACAAATAGCCCACAATTTACACATGCATTATTTTTTAAATTGTATTAGCAATTAATATGATTTATCAGTCAGTTTCATTTTGTAATTTCATTCACATGTATTATCAGTAAGATTATGTAATTTTGATTATATGCAAATCTCTGACAATTTTAAGAAGCCATTTAAAACAGGAAGAAAAATCAATAGATTTTGCAGCAGAAAATCATGGTAGCTAAAGTAAAATTATTTGTGAATGTTTACATGAACTATGAAAGTGGGTTTTTTAGGCTGTGAAAAACGCTACAAACTGCAATAAATTATGTGTAGATGCATCAATGTACCTGTTCTTGTATAGTTTGTGTTGTGTTTTTTGTTGTAATGACTTACAAAAATAAATTTTAAAAACACTCAAAAAACTTGAAACTTTTAAAATTTAATTTGTTCTGTTTTTTTACCAAATCTATTTCGATTCATTAAATAAACTTGGTGAAAGATAACTCTTACTGTTGACAGAATGAGTAAAACACAACTTTAATGTATCTTGAAGCTGGCACATTTTTAATGTCTTCTTTCTCCAATATTATAAAATTTGATATCTGTTAACATAAAATTAGATATTTTTAATTTTATCCCTGAAAAAAACAAATTTAAAATGCTAAAAAAGTGATTTTATGATCCATATAGGGGCTCCTTCATATTAATAGCTGAGATTTGCTACACTTGACTCTTATACTGTAAAAGTCTCCAAAACTGGCTAGACTTGAATTCCAAAAAAACTTTATTATTTCACGAATTGCCATAACAAAAGGGCACCTTTTGTTAGTTACCATAGAAATTAAGTACAGTTGTTCAACATCGATACCTGTTACTTTAACTTCTATTTTGATTAAGTTGTGAAAGTTGCAATAATTAAAAAATATTTTTATAATTTAAAAAAAAATAAAAAATCAAGATGAATAAACTTCAAATGACATTTATTATTTATAAAAGCAATGTTTAGAAACTTAGACATTTTAGTCAACAAAATTAGATTTTTGAGGGGGGGTGGGGTGTATGTTATTTTCTTAGCATAAACACATGGCAGTGTTCCTCATCAGATAATAGAGTAATAATAATATCATTTTTGCCACATCTCTATTTCTTCATTAACATACTGATTCATTTATCCCATTCACAGCTTATGATGCATGCAACCAATTCACATAGAATATGTTAGAGCTTTTCTTTGCCAGCTGACCGTGTCTCCTTTTCCGATGGCTCTGTGTTTTCAACAGGCCTATAAATTCTAATATGCACAGCAGAATTGCTTCTGAAAACAGTCTTTGGCTCTCCATCATCTGTCTCTGGTACAAGATCATCAATTAAATCAACTGTTGATGTCTGCACAGCAAGGTTAACTGTACCTACTCCTTTGGATTTTAATTGAAGAGCCAAATTTATAGCTCTGTTGACCGCTCTTCCAAGTCCATGAATTACAACTTCATTTCCAGCATCAAGTAATTTCAGACATTTTGATTCCTGAGCTTTGAAGTTTGTTTTTGCTGAAATATAAACATCATTGTGTCGCTGTGGGTACCTGGCAGGTAAAGAGCAGATCCAGGGTTAATGTCAACATATCTTTAATAAAATATTCATAATTCATAGACCAAACTTATTATAATGCCGGTAACATTAAGCTTTAAAATAAAAAATGAAGTTAAGATTATCAATCAATAAAACTATATTTTTTGAGATTTAAAAGCAGCAGAGTCATCTATTACTAACAGTGCTCGGTCTTGTCAAATGTATGTATGTCATCACTAGCTAAACTTCATGATACTGCCTCATGTAGATTAAGAAATGTATTACTAAAATCACTGTGCATTAAGTAAATCAAGAGTGTGAATATAAAAGAGCTCACAAGGCAAAGAATGAATAACATGACCAGATCAAAAATTGTATATACAATTTATTTGGATAGCTCATTCTCCACGAGAGAGGAACTTTAAATTACCTTATTTACACAAATTTGCAGCTTACCTATAAAATTCAACTTTTTATTGTCCACTATCGTAACACCCCCTTCACCCCATCCTTTCCGAGCTTTCAACTGGTACAATTTATTTTTTTACAATGCACCTGTCTGTTGGTAATAAAAATTATTCATTCATTAAAAATTAAATTTACCTGTGTGGCAAACGTTTCCGTAATGTGTATTCTTCTGTGTCCAGTTTAGAGCTTGAAGCTTGCATTTTTTCTACCTTTATTATATTAAAAAAACATTTTAATTACTCAATTGAAAAAAAATCTCATAAATATTATTATTATTATTATTAAATGTGGTATTGCTGCAGTGCTGCAGCATTTAAGTTTAAGACACACAAGAGTTTGTCTCTTGTTTTCTTTAAATTAACTCATCAAAACTGTGTTAATGTAGTGTACTAAGCTGGGTCAAAAAATGAACAAATCAAATATGGCCAATAGCCAATATGGGCATGCCCTATGGCTAAGAAGAGACAATACTGATGGACCAATAAGACTAAGACTAGAGAACTACTGATGATTAATCTTAAAGTTAAAGTGCACAAACCGTAAACCCCTTATTTAAATAAAATTTCCCAGTAGCCCGGTATAAATATATTTTATATTAAATAAATATAGAGATTTAGGCCTATTTATTTTCATAAGAGACCCTCATTTTGCATCTATGGGGGTTATGCCTATTAACTATTAATAGTATTAATTAATTAATCTATTGTTATCTACCATTTTTATATATAATATTATTTGGGGGCAGATTTCTTTTAAATTTTGGGGGTCTGAAATGAATAATGATACGAAAAAAAAAATTAAGCAACGTAATTACTTTACCGTAAGAATATCTGAATTAAATAAATTGAGTTCAAGCCATCAAGAGCTTTGAGTTTGAGAAAGTTATTCGTTTTATATTAAAACCCAAAGGCACAGCCAAAAGATGTTTATAAAAGGACAATTTTTAAAACTACCGAGATACTATATTTTTCTAGTTTTCATTTGTCATTAATACATGTTTAATGTTTTTCAGCGTTTAAGTTGATTTTAAGTTAATAATAATACTGAGGACTCCCCTATACACAAATATTATGAACAATCTACAATATACTTTATACTATAATAAAAAACATAAAATGAACTATAGCTGTATTGAGGTTGTAGGTAATTTTATTTTGGTAATTAGAGAAGCCACATCCATGTGAGAGAGAAATCGTAAACATACAAGTCATACTATTTTGACCTTAGCAACTTTCAAAATACGACAAACGGAATGAAATATCATATAACAGTCTGATATTAACAAGGTGAAATAGTATTGTTGTCTATTAGAGACTATCATATTACCATTTGGCGAATTCTTTATGTTACAATCACAAATTATGCGAGAAAATGTTTTGAAAAATATCGTGGGAGTGGGATAATAAAAATAATTAAAAATACTAAATTTAGTTAATACCGGTACTAAGACTAAGTTATAATTGTCATTGTTTTATATTGATAATTGAGTCTACGAGGCAGCAGATTGTTTTATATTGATAATTGAGTCTACGAGGCAGCAGATTGTTTTATATTGATAATTGAGTCTACGAGGCAGCAGATACCTTGTCTACAGTGAGTCGAATTTGCCTCAGTGTTCATTGACTATATAGTACAGTCAATAGAACTGACAAACATTGTTCATTCAATTCATTCATCATTGTTACTAATTTTAATTATTGCAATTCAAAGGAATATTTGTAAACTCCCACTGAAAAGTGTCCCCCATTCCATGACGGCTTGGTGTATTCAAGTTGTTTCATTAAGGAAACCCACAGCAGAAGAATCCAAGTAAAAGTATACACACAGTACCATAATTGAATGTAATTGTAAAGCAGTGCTGCATTCTTTCATCAATAACAATGCAAGGCTCTTTGCAACTTTCTCTCCATAGTGATCATAGGTCCGTAATTATTCTTGTTTAGCTTATGCCCTTCTTAGGCACTGCATCGTCGAGGGTTCCCACTCGATGGGGTTAATTTCTACATCAGGTTTGAGTAGAGGAACGACGACGACAATCCAGGCTGTCCATGATGTACAAGATAAATAATGGGCTGGTCCACTGTTCCAGTATTAAACAGAAACTTGTCCCTCTCCCCCATAGACAGCGACGAGGCCATGACAGGCAATTCAGGCTCATACCAGCAAGAAGCCAGTATAGAAGCTGCTCATTCCTGCCCAAGACAATCAGGACTGGAACAATCTTTCAAAAGGAACGGTTGAAGCGACAACACTAGACACATTTGTGTCTATTGTCTCAAGCCTTCAAACCCCTAGTGCATGATATTTTATCAGTGAAATTTCCTCATCAACACCAAGAACAGAAACATTGCAAATCCCATCTACATGCATAGGAGCCAAAATGATCAATAAATTGATCGTGGGCCCTTAAGATTTAGAAGAAGAAGAAGAGTGCATACAAATACAGTCAAATTCATCTGCATACATTCCGATTCCAAGGCTAATTTTGTGTATTTACTGACCAGAAAACTGTTTTTCACTCAAGGAAATCGGCAAAGAAATATGAAGTTGTATCAAATTTTCTTATGATCAAAACCATTAATTCTTGGGCCTTGGGGGGTTCAAGTGATTTTAACTTTATTGAAATATTAATTTAATTAATTTATATGTCTGTTTTTGTTTTTTTTTCTTTAGGTTTCTACTTTTATAATAATGTCTAATTATAACATTTACCATACTCAATTTTTTGCAGTTGTTCAAAATTTATAAGTCACAGCTTCTGTGGTGATACCCTACCCGCTACCCCTCAGACGCCATCAGGTAATTTAAATCATTGTTTATTTATTTCAATAAATTAGTTAGGCCTTGGACTTAGATTATTTCAGTTTATATATTTTCTAGAGCAATAAAAATTCTAGAATGATTTAGATAATTTAATTATTTCTTTTAAATTGCATACAGGCCTAAGAGTCTGCTTTACTTTAAATGTTTATTTTTTTAGAATTTTTATTTTGTGACAACTATTTCTAGGAATCAAAATGACTGCCCAGCCACAAAACTTACCACCACAGATGCAGGTGGATGCTATGTCTACAGGATCTCAGGTGTGAAATCATTTTAATTCATATAATATCGTTATCTATTTTATTTACCATTAACCATTATTCAAATAATATATATATTTCTAATAAAATATAACAGAAAGTTTATGGCATTAATCTAATTTTAAGTGTTGTATCAATACATTTGTAAAAAAAAAAAAAAAAAATCAATCCTTTACTTCTCAGATTCATTTCAGTAAATTATTGGGAGCAAAATATATTTTATTTACCATTAACCATTATTCAAATAATATATATATTTTTAATAAAATATAACAGAAAGTTTATGGCATTAATCTAATTTTAAGTGTTGTATCAATACATTTGTAAAAAAAAAAAAAAAAATCAATCCTTTACTTCTCAGATTCATTTCAGTAAATTATTGGGAGCAAAATATATGTGTTCAAGTTTTCATTACTACAATTTAATTTTTTTCAGAAATATCATTTTTGAAGTAAAAATATTTAAACACTATTTGGAATATAAATATTATTTCTATTTGGGGTAACAATTTTGATGTTTTAAAAGTTTATGCTTTTTTTTTCCTTCTGAATTTAAAAGTAGATTACATTATGGCAGTTCACAAGTTTATGCATTTTAAAATATTTTCATTAAGTTCCGAGAGTTCTTGAGCCAATACAACAAAATTACAGAGCAGTGCTTCATGGCATGTGTTCATGATTTCACTACAAGGAGGGTAATAAATGCAGAGGTTAGTTGAGTGATTTATGAGTTATATATGGACAAATCAACACAATAAAAAGAAAATAATTAATTTTCAGGTAAATTTACATCCCCCGACTACTTATTTCCCTGTGTTTTTGCAATACTTTCTTTTTACATTGCCACCATATTTGTTGCCATGATGATAGATGTGTCTTAGCAACAAATATGCTGTGTTTTTTAAAAAAAATAGGGCAAAAACACATTTGGTAAATGTGGGGGTGATGTATTTTTTAGCTTCTTACTGAGAGAGAATGAGAATAAGGAATGTTATGAGAATAGGTTATTTTTAAAAGGGAAAACATTGAAATAAAGAGGGTTTTTTTAAAGTTGGTGGTGGAAAAAGTGAAAAAGTTAACTTTTTTTTTTTTAAATTACGCTAAAAATAAGCACCAAAATAATATGCAAATGTAATGGAATAATTTTTTGAGAAAAAGCTTTAGTCGTAAAATCTACAACTCTAACTAACCTGAGTGTAAATTCACCCCTAAATTTATTCCCCCCAGAGCGTAAAGCTTCAAACCTAAAATCTAATACCTATCGTGAACTCTAAAAATATGTGTCTGTGTGGAAACAGTTGTACACTTTACTGATAATATCATGAATTTGAATAAAAAGATTTAAATAATTTTTTTTTAAAATTAAAAATAATGAAAACCCAACTTACAGTTTCATCGAATATACTTTTACACACTTTATGAATCAAAAAGAAAAGTCGAAATCCATTTTTCAAAATGATCTGACAAACACACAGACTCAGACCAAATAGCCTTGTTTTTAAATATTATAATTAATCGCCCTATGAAATACTATTTTAAAAAAGCCTTCTATCAAAAACATTCATTCCATTGGCGTATTGATTTATAGAAACATGATGATTTTTTCTAGTAACAAAAAAAACGACTAAACTAAGTGGAAAGAATTCTACTCAGAAACTCAGTGTGGTGCAGAGAACATTAATTTAACAATTCTTATGGTAATACAGTTGTAGATTGCATGAAAATCATTATACACATTATTGGAACTTAAGTTTAACATTTTTTGAACAATAATAGTTAAATCTGAAATATTTTTAAAAAATGTGAATTTTTTTTTTTTAAATTATGATTTTTAAAATAAATAAAAATATATAAAAAAACATTTACCTCCTAGATTGACTTACCGTATATCAGTATGAACATTAAGTTAAAACCAATTATTCTGAGTATTCAGCTGAAGTAAATTGAGATCTTGAAATTATTATTAATTAAAGCTCCACTGAATTCCGGTACTCATATTTTTTTTAAAATTGTTTTTTAAACAATTCCTTAATTTTAAAAATTTGTCCCATTTATTTTTAACTCATTTGAATTTTTATAAAATTTTTTAATGTTAATTTTTTTTATTATTTTTTGTTGAGTTGTTTATTTAAGTAGTTGGTTATAAGTTTTGGTAAAATATCTGTTTTTCCCCTTCCATCCAGTAATAATAATCTTTTAAAGCAATTATTTTCTAAATATAAGTTTCGAAAACTAAGGAATAAAATATTCAAATATAGAGCCATTTTTGTTTTCAGAACTCTTGCGCCCTGAACTGTTTAGAAAAATACATGAAGATGACCAACAGAATTTCTCAGAGGTTTCAAGAGCATCAGATGGTAACCAATGATGCATTAGCCGCAGCTTCACAAAAGAACAGTTAACCCAGGCTTGTGTGTGTTAACGTTTTAGTGAACTGTAGTCAGGGAACATTACATTTTGATGATATGATTTTTTAAAAATTCTTTGAAATAAAACTATTTTGATAAAAATAGACCACATACAATTCAGGCATTTTATTTGATTCAAATAAATTGTTTTTGGTTATGAAAACCCTGGAAAAGAAGAAACTAAGATAAGTTTTTTTTTAAACTATAAATCTTTATATAAGTTGCAGTTGGGTGATGAATAAAGATCAATTTTATCTCTTAACAGATTTAACAAACATAGTTTGTTTTTTTGTTCTTTTTTATTCTTCAGTGCTGAAATGCTTAGAGGGAATTTTTTATTTCATTCTTTTAGGTCAAATTATGATTTTACAATTGTAACCATCAAGGATTATTGCCAGGGATTAGTTTGATGTTGGTTTCAATGAGATAAAAGAATGGATTTGCAGGTGTGTTGTAAATATCTTTGAACGTGCATGTAATCTTGTTGTCTACATGGGTACAAAACATAATTTGTATTGCTTGAGTGAGGTGACGACATGTACTATTGTTGTCTGCAGAGGTGAGGTCTTGTATTGCTTGAGTGATTTAATAATTATGTGGTGGATGATAGTAATTAAACTTTAAAGATAACGATTGCACATGTTCATCCATTTTAACAAGTTGAAGCTTCCCACAGTACATACTTTTTTTTTTATAATAGTCGTCATTGTTTCCATGAAATGCACTATTTTTTTCCACAGGCAATAGACAATGTTCCACTTTGATAATTTTGTGTGATGTATCAAGTACATTATTCAAATTATGTTAATGTAACTTCATTATCGTTTGCCAAGTAATGCTGTGTGAGACATTGATAATACTATCACTAGAGCGAATCTTGTCGGATGTTTTTTGATTTTTTATATTTTAAATTAAATAGAAGACATAGAGATGTAGTTCTATATTGCAATTTCGTTGTCTTTGTGCACTGTTATGCTAATTTATTAACTAGAAGATATGACCTGATCTTACCGGGATAATAATAAAAGTTATTTTGCATACTTTCTACCTGCTATTGCGAAGTCTCAACATCTGGCAGTCAAATATTTACGTAACATATATAACCGTTTTGGGTTTGAAGTTTTGTAAAAACCCTTTTAAAAACAAAAATGGGAAAATTGATATATTTTTATCAGATTTATATACTGATTTGATTTCCATAAAATAATACAAAATTACCACGGTATCACTGTTTTTAAGAATCCTGGCCATTGTTCTAGTTATTTTATCATTTGTTAAAAAGGAAAATAAATCTGCATTCTCTCCCTTTTTACAACACAGCCTGGTTGTTGTAATACTTATTTTTAGCTGTACAGGTAACTGAAATAAATATAAAGATCAACTCTAATCCAACTTACAGTACCGGTACTTTAAAAATAGCTGATGCAAAAAAAAAAAAAAGATTTATTTTATCAAACACTTTTTTTCAAATGACACAGGGCATTAATTAAGATCTTAGTTTCAAAGGATTTATTGAAATTATGATTTAAGTATTTTGAAAAATATTAACACATTTTGAATGAAAAATAAGATTGCCCAGAAAGTTTTAATATATCAAATATAATATCAGACTGGGATCCCAGTTCAAAGACCTTACACTTACATATGTTATAACCCACTGATGAGGGGGGGGGGGGCGCCTTAACCCCCCACCCCCCAAAAATAATATTAATGCACATTTTGAATGAAAAAAAATTTACCAGAAAATTACCAGATGAATTGAATAGATAATATTATAACTGCATCCCGGTTCTGAGATACCTACATAAATTATACTTACTTACTTATGCCTTTTACCCGTCTGTGGCATATGCCGTTTACAATAATTTTCCATTCATCTTGGTCCTGTACTTTCCTTTCCAACTGCTTCCAGTTGTATCCCATACTTTGTGTGTCTGCCTCTAGCTTGCATCTCCACGTATTCTTAGGCCTTCCTCTCTTTTTCCCCCTGGATTCCATGTCAGGGATTGTCTGGTGATGTTATGTTGGGTTTCTTTTTTGGAGAGTGTGCGCTATCCACCTCCATCTTTTCCTTATGATTATGTCTTCATCACTAGGCTCTTGGTATGTCCTTTCCAGTAAGTCTTTGTTGGTGATGGTTTTAGGCCGTTTGATGTTCAGGATCTTTCTGAGGCAAGTGTTTATGAAGGTCTGTACTTTCTGCATACTGCTCGCTGATGTTCTCCAAGTTTCGGCTCCATAGACTGTTTTAACATTTGTGTTTAAGATTCTGACTTTGGTTTGCAGAGTCAGATCCTTAGATCCTATATTTTCTTTAATAGCACAAAATAAAAATATATGCTAACCCAGTCTTTCCAATTCTAGCCCTGACATCCACTTCGGTCCACCATTTATGCTAATGGTGCTGCCTAAGTATGTGAAGGCTTCGACTTCCATTGCATATGCTCTTAATTTGCTGTTTTTACCTTCATGATCTTTGTCTTGCTTTTATTTATCTTGAGTGAGCTGTGCTGAGCTGGGGCTACGTCTTTAGTCTTTTCCTGAATTTTTTGCTGGTTGTGGGTCAGACGTGCAATAGCTTCTTCCAATTTTATGTCATTCAGTTGGTGGTATTTTTTATATATATATATTTTTTTTTTGGTCTTTAGATCTAACCTAGCAGCTGAGTTTTGAACCTTGTGTAGTTTTTTTTTTTTTTTTTTTTTTTTTGAAGTGTTTTGGTT